AAAAAAAAAAAAAAAAAAAGGTAAGAATTGAAAGAAAACATTATGACTCTGTTTAGTAAGTCTAGTTAACAAGTCAGTTGAAAATTTATAAGTGAGTTCGAGCTTATAGGTGATAGCATATAGTTTATGGCTGAAAAACTAGCTAATATGATAAAAGTATTCAGTAAATTTAGTTGATAAGTCAACTGAAATAAAATTTCAACGAACTTACTAAAAAACTACTCAATGAAGATTTTTAAAAAAACTCCTACCAAATCAAGCTTATTTGTATACAGAAAGCTTATAACCTAACAAAATTTGGTACCAACTGCAATAACTCTTTTTAATTTATATCAAAGATTCAAGAACATTAACATAAACAAACCCAACTTCATCCAACAACATAAATTATCCAAAAACATTCTACATCTCCCTCACTACTACTGATTTTTTAAAAAAAAAAAAAAATGAAAAAAAAAGGAGCAAGCAATGAAAGAACAGAACCATGAGCACACTAACAAAACAACCACTAACAAGAAGAGAAAAGTTACCCCAAAGCACACCGAGAAAATCTTTCGTTTTCTATCATGAACGCCTAGTGCGCTTATTGGAGCCATCACCTTCCGTGAGAGGATAACGGGAAACCTGCTGACGAGGGGAACTTATTTCCGGCACAAAGAAGGACGAGTCGTATGGGCCTTGGATTTTACGGGCCCAGTGGAGCCCAGATGACGTGGGGGGTGAGGGAACTTCTGGCACGGCCCAAAATGAGTCACGCAGTTGGCCCAAACAATCGTCGGCTTCCAATTCTCCATCAGCTGCCCGTAAAACCGAGGAGCAATCCGAGTCTCCCAGCTTCCCACTATCCGCCTACAGGGAAGTTTCCGAATGCTAAATATAAATAATTAAATATAACTGTTCTTTTTTGAGAAAAAAGAATACATATGCAGCATACTTAATCAAGATACACCAACAAGTTGGAATCACAATACAACCTCAATAGAACACTAGTACCTTCATTCAAACTCAAGAACCAACTATACCCTTAAGATCTCTCTCTCTCTCTCTCTCTCTCTCTCTCTCTCTCTCTCTCTCTCTCTCTCTCAAGAGATAATCACAAGAAGAACCCTAGAGTTTTGAATTCTTATAAGCAAGCCCTGCTGACTTAATAATGCCCTTGAAGCGGTTTGGTTTTTGCACATGAAATTTGTGTTCTGGAATATTTTACCTTGAAGTTCTTTTGAGTGTTGTAATCAATGGGCTAAATATGTCTTGAAATCGTTGGTTTTCTTTCCTTTCTTTCTTATATTTTTTTTTTTTCCAACAAACAACTAAGATTATGTGTGATAAAACTAGCTGATAAGCTAGCTTATAGCTTATGAGTGATTTTTGAGTTTATAGCTTACGACTTATAGTTGAAAACTAACATATATAATAAAAGTGTTCGGTAAGATTAGCTAAAATAAAAATTTCAACGACCTTATTAAAATAGCTATCCAAAGAATCTTACGAGATAAGATTTAACTTTTTAAAAATGCTCGTCCTACCAAATGAAAAACTTATTTGAATATAAGGAAGCTTATAAGCTATAAACTATAAGCTAGCTTAATTAGCCAACAAACATAGCCTAAAACGTACTTGCAAATAACTAACTGCAAAAAACAATAATTCACACCTTAGATGAGCCAGCATCCATGAAATTATTATAGCTCTGATTGTAGCCACTGAGATCAAGAAACTCGTCTAACTGCCACGCTGGAATGTTCCCAGCCAAGGCCGAGCCCCCGGCGTAAGTCAGCATTGGTGGTGACGTGTAACCCCCGACCAGACTATTATTACCTTGCACGGGCATATTATTATTTCCACTGTGTTGACCTGCTGACTGTACCTGTTGACCAGATGACTGTGCTGGTGGGCCCACATTAGGGATATGACGAGGCTCTTGTGCTGGAATTTGGTCGGTAGATAGAGAATGTTCTCTCCCGTTAGACGAGGATGGCACATCTTCACTGGCGGCATCAAGGCCGACTTTAACTCCGGTGAGCAAAAACCTTTGGTGGCCGGAAACTGCTTTATTCGCTGTGTGTATTGCCACGTCACATTGCCGGCAGAGCAAAGCGCGGTCTTGAAGGCAGAAGAAGAACCCGAGGGATTCCTGCAGAAAATTGCCAAAAAAAAAAAAAAATGTTGAAAAAAAATTTAAAGATTCGCAAAGTGTCATTCATGGCAGCGTAAAAAGAGCGAAAGGAAAAAAAGATTTTCATGCGAATAATCAATGGCAGTAACACCACATAGACAGACAACAAGTCTACATTTTTGCAGAATTTCTCAAATGAAACTCATCCATATGGGGAAAAGGATCATCAAGATTTTAGTTTTTTTCCCATTCTTCAATTGACATGAGACATAGCAAATGCCAGTTAAACACAACGCGAAAGGATTTTTATCAAACGAATTTTGCCTCACAGACAAAAAAGATGACAAGCTGGACCAAAGACAGTTAAGTTCAAATCCATGTATATGGAGTTATGTAACAACAAGAGAAGTGTGACTTTTTCCAGCAAGAATGTATCCGTCTTAAAAATCGATTCAAATGCAGGGGCACATCTAAGGTAACCTCTAACCGAAACTCCTGTCATGATGACAAGAACACATGATTTTGCACCATAATCAGCAAACTTCCACACTCTCGATGGAGAAAACATAACTCGAACATCAGTCCTCCACACAAACCAATAGAAAAATTGCAACCGGATACTTTCATGGCAACAAAGACCTCATGAGTCATGAGTCACCACCCCACGATCATCTCAGAATCTAATAACTTGATGATTAGTTGTAATGATTGAGACTTTAGACATTACAGTAAAATGAAAAACCCAATAGTTTGTCTAAAGAGTAAAGACTCGACCTTTATGACCCATATAGATGGCAGAAAATATAAATTTTTTTACTTTGTATACAAAGCCAGAACTTAAGAAGAGATTCAATCCTAATGAAACTTTAGAAAACTTCTTCTTAGGTGCGGTGAGAGAGGCTTATTAGGGAATCACAAGATACAAACTGCAAACATATTCAGTAAACAAATTAATCACAAGATACAAACTGCAGCCACATTCAGAAAACAAATCGATCATCTTCCTTTCAGGGCGAAACAAAATGAACAAATTAATCAAAATAATTGATTAATTATACATATATACTGATCCATGAACGCTCATCTTATTAGCCAAGCTTAGAAGGGGGAAAAACAGAGAGAGAGAGAGAGAGAGAGAGGGAGAGAGAGAGAGAAGAGGAATTTTATCTTCCTCCAAAATATCAGAGCTCAAAAAGCAAGAATCAAATGTGAAGTGAAGTGTGAACTGCATCAAGTAGTACCCAAACAGCTCAGCAAATACACATTCAATCATTAAAATAATCTAAAAAATCATGTATCCACAGAAACATGAAAAAAAAAAAAAAAATCACTGTCAGAAAACAATTTAATAATCAGGCTCCCAAATATATTTTATCATCTTCAAGACCAGTCAAAACAAGAACACGGCCCAACACACACACACAATCAAATTAACATAACAATACCCATCAAATTCAGCACTTTTCCTATATAAAACAAAAAAAAAAAAACGAAAAAAAAAACCAACCTTTAGAAGATCAAACAAACAACATAACCCAAAAAAAAAAAAAAAAAAGAAATCTACCTGGCAAATATCACACTTGGGTATCTGCGAAGACGAGCTGGATAAAGGGACCCTCTGGTGTTTGTACGCGAGCTTATTAGCGGCGTGAACTCTCCGATCACAGTCCCGGCACAGCGCCGCCTCGTCGGCGCAGCAGATGACGTCGGCCTCGGCCGCCTCGCACACGCTGCACTGAATCTTCATGACCAACCAGATATTTCAGGAAAAAAAGATGACAAATTGAGCTCAAGCCCAGAGAGAAAGATAACCCCTTTGTCCAGGTTTAGCTTACTATAGGCATAAATAAGATCTTTCAGGAAGAGATAGAGAGAGAAAGAGAAGGCATGTGGTGGTAGGGGACACCACAAAAATGGGGTTTAAGAATTGGTACTGATTCTTTGAAGGGCGGTTTAAGAGTTTCTCTCTCTATGTTTTTTCTTTCAAAAATATTTTTATTGGATAAATTTGTACTGTGAAATTGATTTTTAAGTTGGTGTTAATAAATGGAATAATATCCATAACATTTAAAAATACTATAACTTACCAAGAATTGGCATCTCATTAACAGCAACTTAATTTTACAACCACTCAAACTATATGTGACAAGTGACGAACCCCATAAATTGCTCGCTAGACATTCATATATATTTTTTTAATAAAAGTTAAATTGTTATAATATAAAATATCACACTTTTATTTATTTTAATTTAAAGTATGATATTGAAATATATAATTTATTGTAAAAATATAGTTTTCTAAACAACATTATATATATTTCTCGAATGTGTTGAGCTTAAGTGGCAGTGCACGATTTCAAATTCTATGTAACAAATTTTTAATCTTTGTTGTTTGGAATGGATGAATTTTAATTTATTTTCAATAACGTAACTTTGAATATCAAAAAATATACTTGATTCCTTGTAAAAGTATTAATTATGTTTTAATATTATTTCCATTTCTAAACGTGATTTTATAAGGTATAATTTTTTTCAATATTTTTTTAAAAAATTATAATAAATTTGCTAACTTAAATTATAAATATAGTTAAAAATTAATAATTTTTTTACTTATTATCAAATTTTTATATATAATATATCAAATTAATCATGTCTTGATGAACATTGATTTGACATCAATATTCAACATAAAAAATAAATACATATTTTTAATTAATTTTATTATTAAAATTAAATTACCGATTTAGTTCTAAGAACTAAAATTATTTAAACTAACTAAATTACAGAGTAGTTATCTGATATAAATTAACAAAATATATATAATATAAGATGGTAAGTCGTGTAAATGACGATATAACTCTAAATATAAATAATAATATATTTCTTTTAAAAAAAAAAGTAATTTAGAAACTAAAATAATTTTCATTGTTATTTTAATTTAATTTTAAATAGAATTTTATTAACAAATACCCATATAATACCCTAATATTGTACTAACAACAAATGTATTGGACAAATGTTAAAGCCTATCCCTCATGTATTGGACAAATTGTTCTAAACTTGGAAGTCAACGTATAGTACAAAAGTCATTCCAATCCATTTCAAAATTTCAGAAAAGTATGAAAACAACTTTTCTTTTTTTGGTTTAATTTAAAAAAAAAAACTACAATATATAATTATACATATTATATAAAGCTGGCACATAAAAAAATTTATCAAAACTAACTATTATTACTATTTAAAAAAAAAATACTATAAATGAAGCACAAGAAATATTATAAGTTATTAACAAGTGATATAGAAATTATGGAAATATTATTAATAGTTTTTTTATTGTAGATTTGTATAGACTCGAGTTCGACTCATTAATATTAATAAATAAATTGATGATTATTTTTTGGAATTAAAAATACAATTTATCATTGCCATGATGCCAACCATAGGCCAGTTGCAAGTTTGCCCTATCGGTTTTGCTATGAAATCAACCGTTGGCTTCATAGTGGATCCAACTTTCTATATACAACCAATAGACATACCATATTGTCTGACAACTTAAGTAACATTAATATAATTTTATTAATATGGTAAGTTTATTTGTTGTATATAGAAGATTGACTCCACTATGGAGCCAACTATTGGTTAATACTGTATTAACTAAATATATTAACTAAATACATTACTGATTTTTGTTAATATATTAACTAAATGTATTTAGTTAATACCGTATTAACTAAATATATTACTGATTTTTGTTATCAGATCATCAGCAAAACAAAACAAGTATACATGCATTCAAACGCAAAACACCACAACATAACCTACTCGCCAAACAATCCACAAAGACACCAAGAATGAGCGGGCCGGGTTTATTAGGATCTGATCCGGTTGCCGATTCATATGTTGTTTGTAAATTGTATTGGATTGTGATTACGTTCAGAAAGACCAATAAATCCAGCCCAGATCCATAAATCTAAAAGGCCTAAGTGCCATACAACCAGTTTGGGCCTAATATTTGCCGAGGAGCATATCTCTATTTTATTCTTCTATCTGAATTTATTGTTCTTAGCCCATCAATCTAAAACGATCACTACGGCTACTGTTACATAGAATATAACGGTTAGTCACTCATTTTTTTTTTGGGTTAATTGCTAAATAAACCTTAACCTTTTTGCGTTTGGCAATTTTATCCCAATTTTTGGGTAATTGCAATATAATGTCGATCTCAATTTACTTATTGCAAGTCGAACCTAAAACCGGTCGGACATTCAAAAAACTGGTCGATTTGAAGGCAGTTCGAACAGATCAGAACTCATATTTACCGGTTCATTCTAGATTTAGGAGGAGACTCATCATCGGTAGCTTACATAGACGTGGAATTTTCGGCTATGTGCGTGGATATACGTTAAATCCTTGAAATTTGTCAACTTGCTACATGGATGACATAAAAACCCGTGTCAATGGAAGACTTGGACACAAAATCGGTCCACAAATCCCTAAAATCAATCACTCTGCACCCAAATTTGCAAGAAGTAAATTGAGGTTGAGATTATATTGCAATTACCAAAAGATTGTGATCAAATTGCCAAACGCAAAAAGGTTAAGGTTTATTTAGCAATTAAGCCTTTTTCTTTAAGGTATATTCAAATTGAAATTTCATATTCTATAATAGATATTACAGAGAAAAAAAAAATAGTCTATTGCGTAGGTTCGGCATGGAATGCATTAATTATTTAGCATTTTTTTAGATGCAGACATTTTATAACCAATCTTTTTTATTAAATAAATATGTTCGATCAATCCGCTTAATAGTTAGGCAGATATTATAATATAATAATTGTGATCATGGAGATATGTATATATTATTATATTTTTCTTCCAGATAAATAAATTAAACTGGACAAGATAATTATATAGGTGGTCTAATAAAGAATCAAAAATAAAAAGGGTAAAAAGCAAAATAATAAAAGTAAAGGAGCCTTTTGAAAGAAAATCGGACTAATGCAAGTCCACACAATATCCATACAAATATTGGACGGCCTTTGTAAATATAAGCATGGATCACATTTGAGAAAATCTTATTAGAGCAACAAAAACAATAATAATGTCACCTTATGTCGCTATATTAGTCTTATTGTGTCCACTTTTTGGGACAATAGACTTCAATTTTTTTATTTTTTATTTTTTATCTTCTTGATCATGTAGGAAGAAACTTAAAAGCTTCAATAAATATCTACTTGGTAAATTCCATAATACCCGTAAATTTACTGTTCTCATCGATTTTTTTACTGGTTGATATTACACATTCTCACACACAGTCCATGAATATGTGTTAACTCATTAGTAGAACACTCGGTTATGACAGTACCTTCATCGATAGGGTCGAATTTTTCATACCATAATTTATTTTTGAAGTATTCGATACCAATAGTTAACACGATAAAGATTACTATTGTCTATTAGAAATCTCAAATGGAGGAATATAAAAATATCTTGGCAAGTTGGTCTGAGCAAAGTTGCAAGGACATGCTTTTGCCAAAGGCATAAATCCACCTTTTTTTTTTT